GAGCGGATGTCAACGAAAATTAATGAATCGCCGCTTAAAACCCAAATTAATTTCCTTCTCTTATTTGAAAAATTGGTTTATTATGAAACAAAAAGTTAACATTAATTCCCATTTTGTTGGTCACAAACATGTTATTGATTGTTCTATGAGTTTCATTTTTATATAAAAGTTAATTCATTATAACTTTTACATATAAATTGCAAAAATTATAAATAAGCTAAAAAATAAAATCTAATAAAAACCAATGCATAGTTTAATCAATCGATTAATGGTTTGGAGTAATTCAAGAGTTTTTACGAGTTTAATTTTAAAAATTAAAAAATTTTATTAATCCAATACAAAATAGCTTATATTTGACATTATTTTATATAATTCTAAAACAATATATACAGTAGTATCAAAATAACAAGTATTGAGTGAAACAATATAAATACGGTAATATGAATATAACAAGCTCCAAAATAAATAACAAAAATAAATATTTAATTAAAAAAGAGATGAAAATGGGATTACAGTAATGTTTTGGCACTAATTTAATTGAGAATCATTAGAAATTGAGTTATTATTGAGTTCAATGAGTGAATCGGAGATTAATTGTCTCATGAGTTGGTAATTGGGTTGAGCATAGAAATCCATTTCACGACAAAGTGTTAGATATCGTTCAAAATTATGAGGCAAACCTTAAGACACAAACAGACCATTAAAACCAATAAATAATATGACAATCAGATATGAAATACCGGCACAAATCTGCTCATAGGACGTCTCATTGACTCGTTTCCCAATATTCTTCACATAAGTCTTGAATTGGTTTTCATATCTCTTGACATCACTCCATGGAAGGGTTCCGTGGAATAAATAGACCCAACAGTAGAGCAGTGACTCCATGTCATCACGTCTTGAGCGTCGGACGCCATTGTGGTAATTGACTGAATGGAAGAACGGTAGACCTCTGGGTCTCTTGGACTCGACTCTGCGGTACGGCTTATGATTGCCATTAGAGTCCAAATAAGGTTTGGATTTATTGAAATCAATGATATATACAGTGGTCCTGTCCTCAGACACAACGAAGTTGTCGGGTTTAACCCCTCTATGGGTTAGTCCTTTGTTGTGGATGTACTCCAACAGTGATATCTGTTGCACAGCCATAGGAATGAGTTGTTCGGCCGGTAGAGTACACTTTGCCTTCACTTTGGATGTCTTATTGAAGACATTGTCCAACCGGTCGATCACAATCATCGCCACTTCTGTATAGTCCCCCACATCCGACTCCACTGACCATCTGATCCATACATCCATGACATCCAAAAATTAATAAATTATATTACCGTTAATACACATCAATGCCATTGTAATGACAGATAACTCATTAGAAAATCCCTGCGACCCTCCCGTCCTTCACCTCACAGTCAACGCTCAAACAATGGCTCACTTTAGGGATCAATATCTTCAATGACGCCATTGATGGCGTACTTCAGCAACAAATGCTTACAATTAAAATAACAGTAAATGTCTTACTGTTTATGATAATGAAGTCGAGGAATGCCTTTCCCTCCGTCCAGCACTTTGTAGCAGTGGATCTCATTCAACAACTTCTTGTACTCCGTCTTCACGGCAATCTTCGTGACAAACCGCTGCGATGTGTCGCTCGTGAGGTGACACACGAAGACCCAGCAGTTGCGCGACGACTTGAGCAGCTCTTCCAGAGTGTAGCCATTCATGTGTTGACCGGATTTGGGCGGAAAAGGGTGCGACACGTCGTCATAGGACTGCTCGCTGGACATCACTTCGGGATCTAATGGACAGATGAGAGACACAAGAGTCGAGCCAAAGGTGTGTCGAAGCGTTCAAAACAAACCAAAACATTGAAAGTCGTGAAAAAGTTGATGACATCATAGCAACGGGTGGTCTCCATAGCAACGCAATGAATACAAACATACAAAAGCACATCCAATATGGCGGCCATCGAGTGGACGGCTAATCAAATGTCACAACAAATGGGCGTTCAATACATGCCTGTCCTCTGAGTTGTCACCCGTTTGTGTCACCGCTTGCATTGTGTCCACCGATTATCACCTGTCGTTTGCCACCAAACCAACCAAAATGTCTGCACAGCAGGAAGTGATAGAGAGAGTGACTCTGAGCGACGCCTTAAGTAACGTCGATGTCTTGGATGAGTTGGAACTGCCCGACAGTCAGCCCTGTATTGCCGGTTAGTATCTCATCGGTGGCCAACGGGTCA